GACCGGCCGTTCCCCCATCTCTCTCCCTCTCCTCGGGCCTCCCTATTCCCTGAGACACAACAATATTGAAATTAAGCCAATTAATAACCCTACAATGGCCTCTAAGTGTTCAAGTGAAAGGAAGAGTTGCACGTCTCTCACTTTAAATCAAAAGCTAGAAATGATTAAGCTTAGTGAGGAAGGCATGTCGAAAGCCTAGACAGGCCGAAAGCTAGGCCTCTTGCGCCAAACAGTTAGCCAAGCTGTGAATGCAAAGGAAAAGTTCTTGAAGGAAATTAAAAGTGCTACTCCAGTGAACACACGAATGATAACAAAGCGAAACAGCCTTATTGCCGATACGGAGAAAGTTTTAGTGGTCTGGATAGAAGATCAAACCAGCCACAACATTCCCTTAAGCCTTAAGCCAAAGCCTCCACCAGCAAAAAGATTACGACTCGCTGACGGCTCAGATGATGGTTAGCATTTTTTAGCAATAAAGTATTTTTAATTAAGGTATGTACATTGTTTTTTTAGACATAATGCTATTGCACACTTAATAGACTACAGTATAGTGTAAACATAACTTTTATATGCACTGGGAAACCAAAAAATTTGTGTGACTCGCTTTATTGCGATATTTGCTTTATTGCGGTGGTCTGGAACTGAACCCGCAATCTGAGGTATGCCTGTACACCAAAAAGCCAAAAGTTAAACTGAGTAACAAACTCACAAAACAAAATTCTAAGGGAAAAAAAAAAAAAATCTAATTTGGAAAATTAATAATAGCTAGACATTTCTTACCACCAACTTCCAGAATTGTTTTTGCAAGATCTTTCCTGAAACAACATAACCCATTAGTTTTTTCTTTCCATTTTCATCTAACTCAGACACAGACAGAAAAATATCAATCATTTGCATTATTTCTCTCCTTAATGATGAAAAAAGTACAATCACACAACTTAAGGCTACTCTCTAAGTTATAATGAAAAAGTTTGGAACTTTATCCATACCTCTACACCGTATAAGACTTCCGTTACCAAACACTAGTGGAACAGTTATATAAGGATTATGGTCTCAGATGGTTAAAACTTGACTATACCAACAACTAACTGCTCTAAATGTATGAGACAGAAGGGATACTCACGTAAGTGCACACATTTCTTCAGATAAAGGGATTTTTTTCCTTTCCTCCCGTGGTACACTGTCCAGCAAAGAGTTGAAAGTTCTCAAAGCCTTTTTTTGCAGGGATTAAGAGCGAGGGAGAAGAGAAACAAATCGTTTAAAATGCATTTATTTAAGACTTCATGTACTTCTGCATTTGTTTTCTTTCCTGGGACTCTTACCTCCTGCCGCACAGCACAGCTTATGTTACCTTCCGTCACTAGCTGTCCTAGATCAGGTAAGAATAACTCCAGCAATTGCTTCTTCCCTAGGATAACAGGTAAAACTGTTACATCTGACAAACAAGAGCAACATCACTTGAAACAGACTGCACTGTTAAAGCAGTACAGCCACCCCTAGTGCTAGTGCAGGTATGAAAGGTGGGTTTACCAACACAGCATATTCAACTCCCTGTACAGGAATAAGCTATCCCAGTAAGACACTTGTTGGTACACAAGTTGGGGAGGAAAGAGTTATACCAAGAGTTAAAAAACACAAAGACAAAGCAAGTCTAAGCACAGTCTAAAGAAGGGTTTCTCAACCAGTGGAATGTGTCCTACTGGTGGACGTGAAGGTCCTCTAGGTGGGACCCAAGTCATGGCAGCAAAACCGGAAGCATCACCATGGGACTTCCGGTTTCGCGCGTTTTGATCAACTGCTGGGGGACCCCCACCCTGCTCATCGACCAGTGGGACCAGGATTTTTTGACCTTACATACATGGGAAAGGTGCAAATGGTTGAGAACCACTGGTCTAAAGAATGCCATGCTTATTCCTCTTATAGCCTGCTAAATTTAAAGCAGAGGAGACAGCACATGTTTTGCATCTCACTAATACATAGATACCACTCCCACCCCTTTCCCAACCCAATGAGTCTTATGAATCCAGAACTCTATTCCTATATTCTGGTACAAATGATCATAAAATAATGCCAGCCATTTCAGCTGAAATTAACAGTTCATCCTTTTTCCTATGCCAATTAAAAAAAAAAAAGCTTCAGACATAGGAAACTTCAGTGTTTTACACAAGGCAAAGTCATTTGAACAGTACCATTTACCTTGCAACAAGAGAAATACCTGTTGCTAACACACCAAAACTTTAATACAATGCTAGGAAAGCTGGACATCCTTGATAACTTTCCGAGAATCACTAAATAATATTCTTATTTGTATGTTATTTCAAAACTTCCTGCAAGGAATCAGACATAACTTTGAACAAAATCCTGTTTAAATGATAAAGGAAAATGTTGTTAAGACATGGTTTAGGTTAATGATACTGGGGAAGTCACTGACCTTCATTGTCACACTTGCAAATCACCTGATGAAAGAGAATAGAATCTACATTAAACACATGCTATACACAGCCACATGAGCTGCTCACAACTCCCCCCAAAAAACTTTTGGGGCTTATATTCCTACTACACCCCATCCACAGTGTTTGAGTGTCTTAAATGCTAAGCAATGCATAGGTGTAAAGATTATTTTGCCTGCAGTTGTGATAAATAATATGTACCTCAATAGAGCTGTACAGTAAAACAAAATGTCATCTTTTCTATAATACCTGCGTGTACAGGAAAAGTTATACAAATCAACTATTCACAAGCTCCAAGAGTCAACACCAAAATAAAAATAAAAGTACCTTTCCTACAGTTGTACTCCAATATATGAAAGTTTGTAATTAAAATTTCTAAAACATAATAAAAACAGATGTATAGGTATTGGAAATGGCCACTACTCTTAAAAAAAAAAAAAAAAAAA